TATTTGTACTGGTATTTACTTTTATATAACAAATCAAAATTTGTATATGATGCATGTTTTAAAGATGACGATCAGTTAATTCGCAATTAGTATGTACGGGTGTTGTATTTATATGATAAATACTTACTTTGAAAAATTTTAAATTCCGCTGCTTAAAGCCCGTACAGTACTAGCGAACCCAATAGTATTAGCACTCTACTACCAACTTGAACAACATAAAGCACGGAGAAAGGTTAGTCAGACTGAGATTTGAGAGAGTTTCTTTGACTCAATTGCATCGACCCTCGTACCGCCGCCCGGTTCCACTCTGCAAGAACTCCAAATCATTCTCAAGGAGTGCATAATAAGCGATCTCATTTTTTTCATCGATTTTTGAAATCTTTCTTTATGTCTTACTGAATACCGTACTTGCTAGAGGCATTTGCATCTCTTTCAGATCCTTCTTGCATGCGGGTTCTGAAGTCCCGAAGCAGCACGCAAAAGTCCTCTCCTGTAGGTCGACTCAACTATGTCGACCCAACGAACTTTTTTTACTCCCACAAATCTCTAAAAAGAGTATATGACTGAGGTGCACCAAGATCAACAAGTAGTCGACGTAACCATAATAACTTGGAGGTGGAATCAACAAGAGCACGATACTCAGACTCAGCACTCGATCTGGAGACTAAGATTTGCTTCTTACTACGCCAAGAGACGAGTGAATCACCCAAAAAGAAACAGTACCCAGTAATGGAACGACGATCAGTAGGATCTCCAGCCCAATCTGCATCAGAATAACCGCTAAGTGTCAAGGAAGAACGAGCCGAGAAGTATAAACCATGCAATAGAGTGCCCTTCACATAGCGAAGAATGTGCAACACAGAAGAATGATGCGTGGTTCTTGGAGCAGCCATAAACTGACTCACAATATGAACAACATGAGCTATATCAGGCCGAGTGACAGTCAAATATATCAAACTCCCAACAAGCTGACGGTATAACGTAGGATCCTCAAGAAGAGAGCCATCTAGTGGAGTAAGACGAACATCATAATCAAGAGGTATGGAAACTGTCTGACAATCTGTTAGACCGGCTCGAGCAAGAAGATTGGAGGCATATTTGGCTTGAGACAAATAGAAGTCATCAGAGGAATCAGAAATCTCAAGACCCAAAAAATAGCGAAGAACTGAACGCATAACTGAAACAACGCAGAACTGAACGTGGCATACCAGGCACGAGGCGCTTATTTCAAACCATACAAAGCTCGACATAGACGACAAACCTTCCCAGAGGACAAGGACCCCGGATGAGGAGTCATGTAAACCTTCTCAGATAAGTCACCATGCAAGAAGGCATTCTTGACATCTAACTGTAGAAGAGACCATCGATGAACAACAGCAACAGCAAGTAAACACCGAACAGTAGTAAGACGAGCAACCGGTGCAAAGGTCTCTTCATAATCGATGTCGTACTCCTGTGAGTACCCCTTAGCAACTAGACGAGCTTTGTAGCGCTCAATAGAACCATCTGAATTTGTCTTGATCTTATAAACCCATTTGCATCCGATAGGTTTCTTTCCCGCAGGTAAATCCATCAAATCCCAAGTATGAGTTCTCCAACGCCTGCAACTCATCAACCATAGCTTGTTGCCACAATGGATCAGCACTCGCCTCACGAAAAGATCTAGGCTCATGATGAGATAGGATGGCCGAATAACAATGATAGTCAAGTAAGTGAGAAGGGGGACGACTTACACGAGTCGATTGTTGGTGATCAATGGTAGGTGAAGGTATAGAATCAGAAGAGGACTCAACAGGGGGCGTCGGTTCAGGATGAGCAGGTGGAGCCACTCCTGAAGACGGAGGCATGAAAGGCGTGTCAATGAGTTGTGAGTCAGGACAAGTAACTGGAAAGAGAGCCGAAGTAATGGACATGAAAAAGGGAGACGATGAATCTGTTGGGATCTGTGAGGATCTCGTTATGTACAAGTCACGAATTCAATAGCAAACGTAAACTTATGCGCAGTGGATCTAAAGGTTTGACGTAGAGAACTTACGGCTTAAAATTTATGTAGATCTGGTTGACCACGAACTGTTGACCGCAATTGATTGACCGCAAATCACGTCTTGGGTTGCACGAACAAGGTTAGATCAAAATCGGATCAAACGGATGCAAACAGATCAAAACGAAACTTTGCAGCCTGGGAGCTTCCGGCGGCGCGTGAGGACGCGTGAGCAGTCGGACGGCTGCAATCTCGGCAGCGATGGAAAGCTCTCATTGAGACGGTCGTCTGGGTATGTGTTTAGTAGTATTTTGTGTGGGTAGTTGGTAACCGAGCTACCCGACCTCGAGTCGTTCTCTAAGGAAGGCTATTCGGAACGTCGGTTGTTGATTAGTTGTCCAAAACACAAAAAGATAAAATAATTCCTACACATTCTAATCAATTGGTTGGTCAATTTTTAAGTAAAGGAACTACGGTAATAGCAAATATTAAACTAGCAATCAATTTTAAATAAAAACCCTAGCTTCCTAAACCGGATCGCTAAAAATCAATACAATGAAACACGACACAAGAACCGAACCCTATCTATGCACCTAAATGCTAAAGTAGAATAGTCCACGACAAAGTAATCGAGCCCCGTGCCGAAGTCACGACTTTTCTTGCAACAATTCAAACCTCAACAATCTCAAGGCACAATAAAAGAGTTCACAACAAACAAGGGAGCAAAAATGAACTACAACAAATCGACATGTAATGAATCGAGCAAGCTCTACTTCACGTCTACTAGCTAGATAGTAAAATAGGTGCAAAATCGAAATAATAAGCCTTACAACGAAGTGCTTACATTCCTAATGCGTGCTTGAGCGAAAATGACGAAGAAAAATCGAGAATAGCATAAAAGAGAGTTCGCCGGAAAATTCGCCGGAAAATATCGCCGGAAAATGTCACCGGAAAAATACCGCCGGAAAAATACAAGAAATCCCAAGCTTGAGCTAAAATCCAAAAAGGAACAAAGACAAAATGAAGCTTGTGTCCAAAATACAACACATTAAATGATTATATAGCATTGACAATTTCGCAGGTCTCGAAAAGCCATTCGCTGCGAGTGTAGCCCTGGGCAAGTGTAGGATCGCCGCTTGGCAGGGCGCGAGTAAAGACTCGCTGCGAGTGTGCATTATCTTGGTTGGAGCTTGCCACTTCGCAGGGCGCGAGTTGAAGTTGGCAGCGAGTGCTGGGCAAGGGAACTTGGGAAGCCACTTCGCAGACCGCCAAAATCTGTTGGCAGCGAGTGTGCCATCTTCTCTTGTGCATAGTAGGCTGTTTCGCGGGTCTCGAATCAGAGTTGGCTGCCAGTGTAGTGATCATAGTACCACTCCATTTCTTCAATCGGGTGACTCAAACGGCATTCTCTTCCTCGGAAACTCGTGTGGCTCGGTTCAATGGCTCGACTAACTCGTGTCGGAACGGCTCGACATCAAAATCATGGTCAATGGCTCGGAAAATAGCTCGGATAATGGTTCTTCTCCCCAAACGTGCATAATGGACCTACATACACCAAAATAAACGAGAAAATACGCCAAAATACCAAACCACAAAATAAAAGCATGAAAACACGTAAGACACGATAAAATGGACCGATTGACACAAAAACGAACCTAAAAATACTAAGCTAAAACACATAAATCACATAAAAATAAACACAAATACACAATAAACAACTCCCCCACACTTAGCTTTTTGCTTGTCCTCAAGCAAACGAAACGATAAGTAGCTCAAAAAGAAATGTCAAATGATCCAAGGTTAACAATCGTGCGATAATGACACTCTCATTTTCATCCGGTAATCCCAAGAATCAAAATCAAATTTGTAAACATGTTCCCCACAAATAAATCCATACAAAACAAAAACCCGTCCCAAGTCACCCACACATGATTTTCTCGATTTAAGGTACCTTATTCTACACGTACGTGCAAAAAGCTAATGCGGTCAACTCAAAAGATAAAATACAATAAACACGGACCAATGATCCAACTCCCGTTCTTAATTTCATTGCTTTTGCTCTTTTTTTTTTATTATGTTTTTTTTTTTTTTTAGTCAACTCGAGTTTCCTAAATCGGTTTCCCGGGCTCATTGTCCCATTTCACGAGGTGAATCGGGATAAGAGGAGCCTAGTCCGTACACCCTCGTGAACTCACATTTTATTCTCTTTTTTTTTTTTTTTATTATTATATATTTTTTTTTATCATTTCGAAGGGAGAGGCACAAGGTACATCAAGGTATAGTCTCATAACGCACAATTAATTTAGATGCACTACAACTAATAGCATAACACGTTTACAATAATCGAACATAAGGCACGCTTATCTCAAGTCAATCAATCGAAGTAATCAAGGGACAAAACAATTTCGTGAATTCACTTGCGGGTCCCACGTTTAACAAATCATCGTCCAATTCGAAGGTACAGTCAAAATCATCGAATTCATAAGGCACAAAAGTTAACAATGAAGCCAATCAACATACTTATTTCACCGCTTAATCATTTCGAGCTTTTAAACACACATGAAGCATCATGAGGGGAAAGTCGACACAACCAACAACACAAAGTAAAAGAACCGGTCCAAGACACAAAGACATAAATATGAAGGAAAAACAACGCCTAAACACGCATAATCACTAAAAATCCTCCCCCACACTTCAAACAAAGCAATGTCCCCATTGCTTAAGTAAAAAGTACACGGGAGGTACAAATAATCAGACATGTTCATGCACAACGAGAAAATAAAAGAAAGAGAAGAAAATAAATAAACACATAAAAAGCAAAGACAAAATGCAAAACACATAGACATATAAAAAGAAAACAAAGATAGGAAAAGGAAAAGCGTACTCGACACGGTGATAAATCACCGTGTATCCATCGGTGTATCGTCCGGAGGAAAAGAAGAGCTTGGGCCCTCGGCCCGTGTGTCCGGATAGGAGGTAGAAGCTACGGTCCGAGCCTCAATACGTTGATCCAACTTAGCTTCCATTCTCGTGAGCCGAGCGTCAAAGGTGTGAATAATCGCGTCGACGCCATTGAAACGAGACTCAATTCGTGCAAATCCGGCGTTGAACAAGGAAGTCATTTGAGCCATAAATCCGTCCATCGGGTTCGGAGTATAGTCGGGGAGTGGAGCATCATCATCCGCATTGGTCGGTTGGGTACTCTCGGGAGGAGGTAGTGCGGGATACGTGGAAGATTCGGCAACGACTCCTTGTTGCTCAAGTCGAGCTCTCTTTGCCTCCTTGGCGGCTTGCTCATTCGCCCTTCTCTTGCGAAGCGTGTCATAATACTTTTGCACGCATTCCCGCTCCGCCTGGGGCTTAAGAGTGGTGAAATCGGAGGCAAGGTGAGAGGCGATAAGCTCGTTGGAATCGATAGCCCTTTGATGCACGCACTCATCCCCGTAGACGAGATCGAAATGCTCCGCGATCTTAGTGATTAAGAGGCCGAGCTTCGGTGGAGGACGTGAACCGGTGGTAACGGCGAGTAAGGTACGCCATATAAACCCGGTGATGCAAACCGGTTTCTTGTGGACCGCACTCCAAAGGAGAAAAATATCGTCTTTGCTCACTTTGCTCCCTTCCCCTTTTCCGAACACATTGTAACACAAGAACTTATGGACCGCCGCCAACGCATGATCCAAGATAAAGCCATTTGTGATGTCCAAAGTCCGCGTGGGGCATCCGGATATCTCCTTCCATGCTCCATCAAAGTCGAAACCCGGTACTACCTTATCCGGCCCCTTGGTAGGAAATCCGAATATCTCGTGCATGAGTGAGTAGGTAATCTTTACCTCTTTGCCGTTGAAACGACACACCAATACTTTATCCTTCTCGATTGATTTAACGCTTGTGAAAAATTCCCTTACCACCAACGCCCTTGCCGGCTCGACCATCGCCGCATATTTATCCAATTTCAACGCCTTAAGGTACTCCTCCACCTTATCCTCGATGCCAAGCCAAGTCAAATGAACCATGATGAACGGTTTCCATGGTCGAATGTCCATTTTCTTGACTTTTTCCCACACAATTTCCTCCCTTGGGCCATAAATTTTAAAAGGTCCCGGAACTTCGGCATACTCTAAATCAAGGCCAAGGTCGATAAGCATTTCATGTTCTTTATCGGTGGTTTTCTTACGACCTTTGGTTTTGGACACGACTAGCTTCTTCCTCATTTCAACAAAACTCGTTGAACCTACAATGTAAACACCCGGCAACTACTACGTGACACGTCCGGCAAGACGTGTCGAATACAATCAATTCCAACCCAAATCACCTCCACCCTCCTACTCCGGCAAGAGTAGTAGTCAATCACAACACAAAATAAGTGCTAGTAAAAGTCAAGCCAATGTACCTAGCGGTGGTCGTAAAATTTCGTGTTGGAGCCCGGAAAGAGATATGTAATTTGCGGTAACCGAAAAATTGCACCGAAATGGACGGGACGATGGTCGGTGACTAAAAGCAGCTCGAAAATAGCGGCTCGGGTGCTCGGTGGAAGCTCTCTTACCGGAAAAGGGGGTCGCCGGAAAAAGTCGCCGTTTCCGGCGAAGGTGGCCTTCAGTAGGTGCGGCTCGGGACGAGGAGTCTGGGGGTGCTCTCGGTTTTCGATGGGTCTAAGCGAATCACCGGGAATTTGCGTTTGAATGTTGAAGAAGCTTGGTGGATCTGCGAGCTTTCGTCGGGAAATTGAAGGGTTAAACGTCGGAATTTCTGCGTGGGGGTCGGATATATTGACGCCGTGGTGGAGAGCTACAAAATGATGTATAGATTTTTGGGTTCCGATGAGGTGGCCGGGCTGCGCGCGGCGGCGGTAGGGTGGAGCTCGGCGGCGGTTTCTTGGAGAAGAGGAATGTTGACTTCAAAATGTGGAGTGGGAATTGAACGTAGGGTTCAAGGGGTTAGATCCACATATGCACACTCGCCCGGCGCGAAAATGAAATCGCTAGTGGAATCGAAGTCGCCGGGCGCGAGTTGCATTTGGCGGCGCGAACAAAATTGAGCTGAAAATGGAGCAGGCCCGAGCTCGCTGGCGAGGTAAAATTAGCGGTCTGCGAGCGGCAAGTCGCCAGGCGCGAACGTGATCTCGCGGGCGAATGTGTGTTGGTCGGGCGCGAATTTGTGTTGGGCTCGCGAACACATTTGAGCTGAAAATCTTGGCTAGAGAGCGTTGGCTGGCGAAAAGAAATTGGCGAGCTGCCAAGGCACGCTCGCTGGGCGCGAATGGTCACTTGTGCGCGAGTCCCAATTGGCAGAGCGCGAATTTGAGTTTGGCTCGCGAGCAAGAAAGGACTGAAAAATGATCATCTCCTTAGCATAATTCCAACACTTAGCCAATCTTTAGATGATTTTCACCCAAAATTCTCATCTTCGCTCTAAAACACGAATACCGCTCGATTTCATAAGAAAAAGAAGAGAAAAAATGCAAGAAAAAAAAATAAAAATAAAAATAAAATAAAATAAAAATAAAAATAAAAAGAGAAGAATAAAAGCAAAAACGTGGGTTGCCTCCCACGAAGCGCTCGTTTTACGTCGTGAGCTCGACATAACCGTCAATTCATGAATAAGTTGGCTCTTCGAGCTGGGAGTAGAGTACTCGGATTTCCTTGGCATCTCCCTCGAGATAGGGCTTCACCCGGTGCCCATTCACTTGAAAAGTCGTCTTGTCGGTTGGGTTGAAAAGCTGAACTACCCCGGAAGGAAAGACCTCCTCGATTACGAAAGGGCCGCTCCATCTTGAATTCAATTTCCCGGGAAACAATCTAAGTCGAGAATTAAAAAGAAGTACCTTCATCCCGGGTGAGAGCTCCTTTCTTATAATCTTCGAATCATGCCACCTCTTAACTTTGTCTTTGTAAATCCGGGCATTCTCATACGCCTCATTCCTCAACTCGTCCAACTCATTGATTTGCAAGTGTCGTTCCTTACCGGCTACACCAAGCTCGAAATTTAGGACCCGGATAGCCCAATAGGCTCTATGCTCGACTTCCACCGGAAGGTGACAAGCCTTCCCATACACCAAACGAAAAGGACTCGTGCCAAGAACACCCTTGTATGCCGTTCGATGTGCCCACAATGCATCTCCGAGTTTTTGGGACCAATCACGTCTAGAAGCATTCACGGTTCTCTCAAGAATAGCCTTGATTTGTTTGTTGCTCGTTTCAACTTGCCCGGAAGTTTGAGGGTGGCAAGGCGTGGCAACCTTGTGAGCTATCCCATTCTTTTCCATGAGCTTTTTGAAAATCCGGTTGCAAAAGTGGGAACCTCCATCACTAATGATCGCTCGAGGAAAACCGAAACGGTTGATGATATGGTCTTGAACAAATTTAACCACGACCTTGGCATCACAACTCCGAGTTGGGATGGCTTCCACCCACTTTGAAATATACTCCACTCCGACTAAGATGTACTCAAATCCATGAGAGATTGGAAAAGGCCCCATGAAGTCAATTCCCCACACGTAAAAAATCTCAACCGGCAAAAACGTATTAAGTGGCATCTCGTTCCTTCGCCCAATATTTCCCGGACGTTGGCACCGGTCGCATGAAGTGGAGAAGACGTGAGAGTCTTTGAATATCGTGGGCCAATAAAATCCACTTTGTAGTACCTTGAACGCCGTTTTTCGCCCTCCGAAATGGCCTCCACAGTTCGACGAGTGGCACGCGGTTAGAATGGCTCGTTGTTCCTTCTCGGGCACACACCGCCTAATGACCTCGTCCTTCCCAAGATGGAAAAGATAAGGATCTTCCCACATGAAGTACCTACACTTAGCAAGGAATCTCTTCCTTTCTTGGAAGGATAGGTCATCATTCAAAATACCACTAGCCAAATAATTAGCAATATCGGCATACCAAGGCACACAATCGACAACAAAAACATGCTCATAAGGAAATGAATCATCAAGGTCATGCATATCACAAGAATTCGAAGGTAATACAAGGCGTGATAAATGATCGGCAACAACATTCTCGCATCCTTTGCGATCTAAAATTTTCACATCAAACTCTTGCAATAGTAATACCCAACGAATCAACCTAGGTTTAGATTGAGCTTTAGCTAGCAAATGTCTCAAGGCCGCATGATCACTGTAAACCACAACCTTATATCCTACAATATAAGCACGAAATTTCTCTAAGGCAAAGATAATTGCTAGGAATTCCTTCTCGGTCGTAGTATAGTTCACTTGAGCCTCATTCAAAGTCATACTAGCATAACTAATCACATGATGTCTTTTCTCAACCTTTTGCCCTAAGACGGCCCCCACCGCAAAATTCGAAGCATCACACATAATTTCGAAAGGTAAGGACCAATTCGGGGGCATCACAATAGGAGCCGTAATTAACCTACGCTTCAACTCATTAAAAGCATTCATGCATTCCTCATTAAAGTCAAAAGGTACATCGAATGCAAGCAAGGCACATAATGGTCGGGCAATTTTTGAAAAATCTTTGATAAATCGCCGGTAAAAACCGGCATGCCCGAGAAAACTTCGAACACCTTTCACATTAAGAGGGGGAGGAAGTTGTTCAATCACATCAATTTTGGCCTTATCGACCTCGATTCCCTTAGATGAAATGACATGACCTAGAACAATCCCACTAGGCACCATGAAATGCGATTTTTCCCAACTAAGAGTCAAATTACTCTCAATGCATCGTTTCAAGACTCTACCAAGTTTATCAAGACAATCAACAAAAGAGTCACCAAAGACGGAAAAGTCATCCATAAATATTTCAATAAATTCACCAATCATGTCCGAAAAGATAGAGAACATGCACCTTTGAAAAGTAGCGGGGGCATTGCAAAGCCCAAACGGCATTCTCCGAAAAGCAAAGGTGCCAAAGGGACATGTAAAGGTGGTCTTCGGTTGATCCTCCGGGGTAATCGGGATTTGGTAGTATCCCGACAATCCGTCAAGAAAGCAATAGAAAGGGTGGCCGGCTAGTTTGTCGAGGAGTTGGTCGATAAACGGCAAAGGGAAGTGGTCCTTTCTCGTGGCGGCATTTAGCTTCCGGAAATCGATACACATCCGCCACCCCGTCGTAGTCCTCGTAGGTACAAGTTCGCCCTTGTTGTTTTCCACCACTGTGATTTCACTCTTCTTTGGGACAACGTGTACGGGACTCACCCACTCGCTAACCGCCACGGCATAGATAATACCCTCTTGCATCAATTTGAGAATCTCTCTTTTCACAACCTCCATCAACGTCGGGTTCAATCGCCTTTGTCCCTCTCGTGTAGGCTTCGTCTCATCTTCGAGAATGATTCGATGTATACATGTAGCCGGGCTTATCCCCTTGATATCGCTCAAACTCCACCCAAGAGCATCTTTGTTAGCCTTAAGGACCCCCACGAGTAGGTCCTCCTCCTCTTTCGAAAGACCCGAATAAATGATTGCGGGCTTCTTTTCTCCGTCTTCAAGGAAAACATACTTGAGGTGCGGTGGTAGCGGTTTGAGTTCACTTGAAATTTCTCGGGGCTCGGGTTCTTTGGATAGTTCGAAGAGATCCACCACTCCTTCTTCTTCAGGATCAAGCTCCTTGGGCACATCATCATTAGGAATGTCGCACTCACATGAAACTTCGGCATGAAAAAGATTGTGGACCTCCTCCTCGATCACATCTACGTAAGAACAATTCTCGGTGGCCAACGGTATTGTCCTTGCTTCGTTCATAGTGAATGTAACCGTTTCACCGAGAGCCGATAAGGTGACACGACCATCTTTGACATTGATAAGGGTATTGGTAGTGGCCATAAAAGGTCGACCGAGTAGGATGGTGTGCTCGTTTCCGGTGTTCGGGACTTCTCCTACATCAAGCACCACGAAGTCCGCCGGGACTATCAAATTGCCTACCCGAATCAAAATGTCTTCGATAACACCCTTCGGATATCGTAGAGTGCGGTCCGCCAATTGCAAACACATCCTCGTCGGCTTAAGATCTCCGAGCTCCAATTGTTGGAAGATAGAATAAGGCATAAGATTTATACCGGCTCCCAAATCGAGCATGCCATTCGTCTCCTTGCCGTTTCCCAAGGTAATCTTGATCACAAAACCTCCCGGATCACACTCCTTCCGAGGAATCATGGTAGAGGCCACCTCGGAAATCATCAC